TAAGGTGTTCTTTCCTGAATTATTATTACTATCTTTCAAACCAAAAAATAGCTATCTATCTTTGTTTCTCTGTGTCCCTCACCTGGACAAGGATTTTGACAGAAACAATATAAGTGTATGTCATTATCACTTTAAGTCCTGGAATCATCATTAAAGTAAAACAGCATTTAGTGACATCTTTGGTTAAAGGGGAAGGAATGTTGGTGGAGAAACATAAGAATGAGTGACAAGCAAAAAAATGAAAATTTAGATATAGAGAAAAAGTGCATCTGGCAGTGCTGGAATCATGTCAAATTATCCTTATTGCCACTTTGAAACTGTTGCACGGCACTTGTCCATTACAGCATCTGACTGTCTACATTGTTTTTCATATCAAACCTGTTTACTGGAAAAATATTTCTCTGGTATGCAGTTTAAAAAACCTTATTCTTCTTTAACTATTAGGTACCTGGCCTCATTTGATAAAGTGATTAGGTCATTATTTTTATTGCCTTGCTTTCTAGAACAATAAACCTGATAGCACCTCTTTGTTTGGAGCTGGAGGAAATTAAGTTTTCTTGAGTACAGATTTCCATTTCCAGAAGAGCACTGAGCTTTTCCCATAGCGATGTTTGCTAATCCACTGCTAAGCTCTTATCAATCATGTGATTCAGTCATAATTTCATCAACAATAGACTGTGGAGGCTCAGAGCTGCCATGACTATATAGTGAAGGTGCTCAGAAGGATTACCAGCAATAATGATGGTCTCTGAAAGATACACTCAGTGTTCACTGAACCACTGCCTTCATCTCAACAACTTATGTCTTGCACCTTAAATGCTATTGTGAGGGACTATGATAATAGCCCCAAAAGCAAATCAGATTGGCAACAATGATCTCTATCCAGCAGGACTGGTTGCAAATAATGAGACAGACACTCTGTCAGGTTGTCAGGTTGCAATTTAGCTTCAACAAGCCTAAATCGAATAGCCTGGCCATTTATTGAACACAAAATCTGCTCACCCATCCCAGTACCCTGGCTCCAGTCAGGTGAGGCACTGAGAGGTACCTTCAGAGCAAGGGCTGGGATATTTACATAGCGGTGGCCACAGCAAACATTTTTAAGTATAGTATTAATGTCCTAGTGTTTCTTATTCTGTTTTTGCCTGGGTGCATTTTAGCTGCTCTTAAAATACTCTAATCTTTCTACTTTAGTCAGGGAACTATCCAAACTTTGGGTAAAATTAAGGGGACAATTTCCTACAGGACAGTCAACTACCTAGTACTTACAGAAAAATTGAAGATGAGTATTTGTGACTGCAAAATACAATTGAACTGTGTGATTAACATGGTCAAACATTGACCATCTTATTAAGGGAAGAATAAAAAATAGTGATTGAAAGCTGACTTACAAGGATGATTTTTAAATATATCTATTTTTTAATATTAGAGTTTACAATAGTGTTCAGGTTTGTGGTGTTCATGCATGAAGCTACTGCATAAACCGTTTCTCTCCTCAACAGGCCCAAGGCTCTCTTACCACAGTCCCAAATGTAATGCTTTGAAACAAAATGCATAATTTGTTATATTAAATGAACATTTTGATTTATAAATTGATCATGGCTGATGAAAAGACTGCACAGAACACATAATTCCACCTTATCATCTCAAATTTTATTAGTATTCTGCTCTAACAAATATAGTATGAAGGCAACAGTTCTTTTAAGTTTCTTATTGTATGTCACAGATGAAAAGAAACAAACAGATTTAGAAGCAGTTCAGCATTTAAATGCTGGTTTAACAAAAGAGGCACATCTTTTTTTTAAATTTTTTTTTTACTATTTAGCAGTTTATACCAGATATCAGGAGACATTTTTTCCTTGCAAGCAACAGACTACATTTATTTGCATTACGTAAAAACATATCTTGGTCAAGAAAATTACTTTTTTTTCTGCTTTTCCTTTATATCACAAATGTCAGGGTAAGGCAAATCCTTAATGAATCATATGATAAAAACCCTATTCCCCAAGAAAATATATTGAACATATTCTGCTAGCTTTGTTATTTTTCAAAGCAATGCCGACATGCACCACATACAGAGAAATGTCGTTTCAAATCAAGTGCATCAAGCAGAACTGTATTAATTCACAAAGAGGCTTTTCAGTGTTTCATAGAAAGATTTACAATTAGCTGCGGTGACTAATATATGACCCACTATCACAGACCATGTTTAGGATGCTTCTCTTGTAAGCTTTTATGAAAGAAGACTTGTCCATCATCTGAATAGTTACCAAGAAGAGGAAAAGCCCCTTTGTCTGTCTTACAACAAGTACCTTTTTAATTAGAATTATGATGTTGAAAGCTCACTTTGATTCACTGTATGCAAACATGACTAATATAAGGCCGTTTTCCTTTCTTCCTCCTGTAACCCCTCATGCTGCATAGCTGAGCTGAAGTGTGGTTGGAAATTGACATTCAAAATTCACGTGAAGGAGAATCAATCAGCTTTTTGAATTTTCCATTGTGCAGTCTGTGTCATGACAGCATCATAAAAATGAAAGTTTCCTGTGCTGAGGTCTTCCAACTGGCCAATAGCTAGATTTTTTTTAGCATTTAACTCTTAAAATGAAAATGAGCTTCATTAATTGTTCTAAAGCATAAAACCTCATAGCTGTTAGAATGCGAAATGAGGCAAAACTAAAAACAATCTAGCCATCAAATGAATTTTAACAAATTCAACAGTAAAATTTAGTGCTCCTAATTTCCTAGATACAAGCTTAACTTCCTTTACAGCTTTCAGGAACAGAACTCCCACCTCCCATTTCTATCTCACCCACATTTGAAATAAATGCATAAAATGGCTGCCAGTGATGCTATTCTTTCTAAAAGTTCCAATCCTGAATCTTCCTAATAGGGGTGTTAGTTCTCTTTCATCTTTGTTCATTAAAAAATCTCACTCCCTCTTATCTCTTTGATTTTGTTTCAACTGTTACTCATTACTGAGCATGAGTTTGCACTAAAGTTTAAGCATCACCAGAAGATGTGACCTTGTCAAGTATTTCATAATAATGATGGCAACTTTCAATAAAGTTATAGAGATGACACTAAAATAGAGAAACTAGGGGCATTCATATGGCATCATTTCTTGGATTATTTAAAATGAATCTTTCATTGTTTTCTAGAAGTTATGTCTATTGGAGGTAAATGCTATATATCAAATTATAGACTATTTGTTAAAGAAGAAATGGGCATGTTACAAAATTATGAGGTTGCTGCCATTACTTTAAGGTGAATGAGAAGCTTAAAAGAATATTTTGTGTACTCCCTCACATATTGGAGTTTCAGTGTTCAATCCAAAGTACCAAAAACCAAAATGTTTTGAATACTGGAGTATATCAAATATTCAGAAATATATTTTTCTAATTATTTCAGTTAACTAAGTCAGCCCTTCATAGGAGCAACACATTTATTAAGATGAAAATTCATTCACTGGAAAACTAAAGGACAAATTTTCTATAAGCTGAAAGAAAAATTGATAAATTACATGGGGGATTTAGAAAACAGAACATCCCTTTAATTTAGAACTACTCATTTTTATCCATTACTTTTCTCTGTTGAGAAAAAAAATATGGGTGTAATGTAAAATTCTAAAGACCTTATAAGCAATATTAATTTAAAAAGAGACATAGGGAATGATACATATTTCCATAGAGATAAATGACTAGTCTTGTAATCCAAGGAGGCTAGTCGAAGCAGGCAGGAATCTTACCTGTGGAAGTCCCTCTTTTTTGGTTGGCTTCAGGATAGACATCTATGATATATCTAATTTCTTCTTGGCCTGAGATCTCTTGTACCCATCATTCCACTAATATCTGAACTTATACTGTTATCCCCTTTGAGGCAATAATCAGTGGTATACTTTGGAGAGGTGACCAGTCAGGAAATTAATCACAGACCTGGAATGAACAAACCACTCCATTTAAAAGAAGACCAGGAAACTAAAACTACAAACAAGATTTCTAATTTCTTCTTACCTCAAGTAAGAACCTGTTCTGTGGACCATTAAACTTGGTAAAGACAAGATATTATTTTGTGAAAAGCTTAAGTGTGTGTGTATGTGTGTGTGTGTGTGTGTGTGTGTGTGTGTGTGTGTGTGTGTGTAAAGACATATCTCAAGTGAAGCTTTTGAAATTCACAGGCATACGTTTGGATCCAAAGACAACAGTCCCCTTTCTTAACTCAAAACATCTGAAAATAAGTGCCATTCCTTACAGTTTGGTCCCTGAGTCACATCTCACTGGTAGGATCCATGCTGACTCACAACATAAAGATCTATGAACCATGTAAACTTTGCTGAAAGTCACTGTCAGAAATAAAACCTGACTATAAGGGAAGAGACCCCTATGGCTATCAGGTCCTACTGATAAGTAGGAAGTTGAACCTTTTCACTTTAATCAGGGTTCAATTTGTCTTCCATATTCCTCATTAACCATATGAAAAAAATGAAACCTTGGGAATCCTAAATTCAATACTTTCAATTCATTTTTGCTGACCTTTCAAGTAACTGCTGAAGGTTTTGCCAATTTCTATACTGCTCGCTTTTGTCTGTGATATTGGATTTGGTGATTCCTAAAAGTTAGCCTGCAGCTTATCACAACAATCAAGTCTTTTCTCTTTCTTTAAAGAAATCACTGCACAACCTGCTTTGTGAAATAATGGAGAAAGCAGACAGGGGCCAAGATGGACATGGGAGTGGTAAACCTGTGGCCCTGGAGCAAAAATTATGACAGAAAAGACACAAATTACAGGGAGAGTGCCTGAAAGATGTCATAACATGTCCTCCCACCAAATTAAAAAAAACAACCTTTTTCTTTTTTTTTTTTTTTTTTTTTTGTCTTAAGGTTAACAGAACAAAACACAGCTGAGGAAATAAGAGTAAAGTATTCCTTGCCCTTCCGTGGGACTTGCCTTCCCCCCACCCCTCCCTCCACAGTAGCAGTGATGCCTCCCCTGGGCACAGGAGAGGTCTGCCATGCTGAGGACTGACATTTACTTCCATCTCTTAAGTGCTCCTTTACTTCATCCTGAGCCCCTGCTGAAGACAAAGAGAAACCATTCATTAAACATGAGGTACCTTCATAGGCTTAACAAGAAATATCATTTTTGTATAGGCATTTGCATGATTATTTCCCTTCACATGGCCTAACAATCCTGTATCTGCCTGCCAAAGAGCTTTGGTATCTGAGCTGGTAGTCAGATACAAAATATTTCTAGACCTGTGTAAGGGGTAATAATCATTTAAAGAGCATATAAATTCATTCTAATAAATGTATGCCACATTGGCAATTTGTCTTGGTGGATATGAATGATTAACTCAACTCTTCAAATTTTTCTTTAAGAAACCCTAATCTTCAATTGGGGATTCCTCCCCTTTGGGACCTATTTGTACATTCTTTCCCAGAGTTCAATGTATAAATGACAACAGTTTACCTAATGCTGCTGTGAAAAGGGCATTCAAGGCTATTGCATATGCTTTGAGATCTTTGTAAGCGCTCACTGTGCTTACTTGTAAGAGAATATATCATGCATTAGAAGAGAATCTAGTCTTAATTTTTTAGTTTATTTTTTTAAAAAAGTATGATCTGTATATGAGGAAATGGCAGATTTTAAGCATATATAACTGTTTTGAAAAATACAACTGCTTTATTCACACTGCCATCAAATTCATTTGATTCCCATTGCCCTAGAAATTTCCCTTCCTGGTTACTAACCCTATTATTTTTCATAACTTGTCTGCTTTCCATTACCAGAAATTTCTACATCTCTATAAGAAAGAGTGGATGACTTCTGAGAAAACTTTCTATTCCTATGGCCTATGAATCTCTAAGAAAGTACTCTTTGAGAAATGTACGTATGCAGACGTAAAAGCATTATCTTACTCTTTGAATGTAATGTTTGGAAATATTGCCAAGTAGTAAGAGAAGACACCTGCCTAATGCTCCCACTGACATTAGCTCCTGCAGCTAGTATTATCAAGTATTTCCTTATAATATTTTCTCTATTTTTCTCTATTTTTGTACAGTTAGTATATATCGTGTCAGTACATACACACAATAGTATTTTTAATAATGAAACTGCAGTGAATGGAGAAATAGTACAGCAAGTAAGACACCTTCCTTGCATGAGGCCATCCTGGGTTCAATACTCAACACCTTGCCCTGCCAGGAGTGGTCTCTGAGTGTAGAGCCAGAAGTAAACTTGAGCAGCACTTGTGTGGCACAAAATATAAAAAACAAAAAAGAAGCTACAAACTTGGACAAAATTATAGATAACAACATAATATATTTAGAATCAGGGCTAGGATGAAAGAGACGTTACTGGGGCCTGCTCGAGGCAATCGACGATTAACAGGATGATGAAATGAAATGAATTTAGAATATATTTACTATCAAGATTTATTGTCAATATCTGATTATTTAATTTTAATTGTGGATTGTCTTGGGATACTTTCAGTGGTGTTAAGGTTTTCACTTAGATCTGTGCTCAGGAGTCACTTCTGGAAGTTTTCAGGGTATCATATGTAGTGCAGGGGAAAAAATTAATATTGGCTGCATGCAAAGCAAGTGTTTAATCCCTGTGCTATCTTACTATTAACATGGCTTCAAATGTCAATATTGAAAGTTTTTCCTTGTTATCTTTGCTACTTAAATAAAACATTACATATAAATCAAATTATAGATGTGTTAGAATTATTTCTTTTTCATTTTTGGAAGTAACCAAATCATAACATCCCTGTAAATTAACCACCTACACATTTTTAACTTTTATACACATATATATTTGTAAGCATACATAGAACAGGAAGTGTGTAGCATACTTTCAAATAGACATAGATGGTGTTTTTGTTTTATCTTGCTTCAATCACCTACCAATTAACATTATTATAAATTCATAGTCAGTACATATTGTGAGTTGATGTTAAGTTTGCCAGTTTACTTGACTTACAGTTGTTTCTGAAATCCCATTTTTGTTTGTGGTTCAATTTTCTTCTCACTGTTCTACATCCTTTAGGAGCTTTTTAAATAAAAAGTATGTGAATATCAAGTGCCCCTGCCCTTCCCAAAATGGAATCTACATTTTCTCAAAGATAATAAAACTAGTATAGAAACTTTTTTGGACAATTATTTGACCCATATTTTAATGGCTCACAACTAATACCCAGACTCTTTTGTTGGAACTAGGGAGATGACAGTGTATCCTGAGTGTGACTTAGATACTTGATTTTGAGAAACTGGCTGTCCTTATATGCTTATTTCTTTATAAATGAATTCTTCACATTTTCTATTTGCTTTGATTCTTTTTAAACCATTGTTGAAACTTACTGTTACTTTAAATTAAACTTTTATGGTTTTATCAGTCTTAATTCATTCTAATCATTATTATTCAAAGACTGATTATTTAATACCTTACTTTAGAATGCTGTTGAGCACAAAAATCTCTTGGTTATTCTATATTTCCTCACCTGGCTTTTGTATTTCTTACACTTTTTTTTTACTTTTTTTCCAAACCATTATTCTTTCGTAATATTCTCTTACTGTTTTATACCTGATTTTTATCATTTTGTCATTCAAATGTATGAATTTTATGTCAGAATTTATTTTTGATCTTTTAAGTCTCAAGTCTCATAGTCCTAATAATACTGTAACTTTTTGCACTAGTTCTTACTGTTGATCAATTATTTCACTGTGTGTTTTGTAAGTTTAAAATAATAAACTCAGCTTCATAATTTATTTTCTTCTGTGAGGTTTTCACATTTCCATTTGTCACTTACACCAGGGATAACCATAGTATGTAATCAATTATTTCAATTATTTAGCAATTTTTCAGTTTTGCATTACATTATGACCCTATTTTTTGTGTTTGGGGTCACACCCGGCTATGCTCAGGTTTACTTCTGGTTCAGTACTCAGGAATTAGTTTGGCAGTGGTTGAGAGACCATATGGGATGTCAGGTATCGAACCCAGGTCGGCTGCATGCAAGGCAAATGACCTATCCACTTGTATTATCACTTTGGTCCCTACATTATAACTTTGGAAAATAAATAAATGTTTCAAAGGTATAGTATGTTTGTGGTTTCCACTTATTGTGGGAACCCTTTATTTCACCATGCAGCACCTGAACAGATACCTCTTTGTAATTTCTTGAAGTAGAAGTTTCAGATTTATTTATATAAAACTACCTATTCCAACACCCTTCCTTGAGAAAAAGTTGTTCATTGCCCCATTGAATCATAAAAAAATCACTCCAAAATTCAAAGCCAAAATACATCGAAGATTTGTTATTTCTTTTTTTATTTTATTATTTTTAAATTTATTTTATTAAACTAATGTGATTTACAAAGTTATTCCAATTGAGTTTACATACAATGTTTCAGCATCAATCCCAACAATAGTGTTAACTTCCTTCCACCAATGCTCCTAGGTTCATTCGACCATGCCCCACCCCAGCCTGCACCTTTACAGGCACCTTTATTTTTCTTTTTTACTTTATCTAAACACCATCGTGTACAAAGTTTTTCCAGAACACAGCTGTTATGGGCTTTTGGTGTCCCAACATCAAACCCATCACTAAGTGACCTTCCTTCCATTATTGCTCCCATTTTCACAACCATCCCCCAAGACTGCCCTTTTTGTAGGCAAACAGTAATTTGTTTTATATTACTTGTTACAACCAAATAGCTAAAATAATTATTAAAATATTTCAGTGAAAGAAAATTTGTGAAAATCATTTTATCTCATCTCGGGATTGTTAAATCTTTGTCTGAGAATCAAAAGATTCTCAGAACTAATCTGTTCATTGCTTTATGTGGTGTGTTTAATGCAAATATTTCCTTCCATTCAGATGCCTGTCTTTTTAGATTTTCACAAGTTTCTTTTGCTAGGCAAAAACTAACAAAGTTGATGTAGCTCCCTTTGCTTATTGGTACTGTAGCCTTTGCCAATGTCATCCTATCATTAAAGATACCTTTTAAAGTCAATGTCTTGAAGAAATATTTCTATATTTACTAATTGATAGGAAAATATAAATTCTGATCTAATCTCAAGGTTTTTGATCCACTTTGAGCTGACTTTTGTGTAAGGTGTGAGATATGAATCCAGCTTTAAGTTTTTACACTTGATTATTTCTCCCAGTATCATTTCTTGAAGAGACTTTTCCCCTCAGATATCATGCTTTCAGATTCTTAGCAAAAACTTGGTTGACCATATATTTGGAGGTTTGTCCTTGGGTTGTCTGTTCTGACCCATTGATCAGAGAACCTGTCTATACTCTAGTATCATGCTGCTTTTATTGTATGGTTTTATAGGATAGTTTCCAGTTAGGGAATGAGGTGCCTCCAAGTTTTATTTTTCACTATGGTTTTTGCTATTTGGAGTCTCTTAAGACTACACATAAACTTTATTTATTGGCTGGTCTGAATTCTTAAAAAGTACTGTCTGAATTTGGGTATAAGTTTAGATAGAACAGTCCTTTTGACAAGATTTATTCTTCCAATCCAAGAGCATGGAATGCTCTTCCCTTTCCTACAATTTCTTCCATTTCTCTTAAGTATTTTGAAGTTTTCATGGTTTAGTCTTCCACTTCTTTTGTTAAGTCAATTCCCAAGAACTGGATGTTTTTGGACAGTATTTTAAATGGGATAGATACTTTGGTCTCTTTCTCCTCTATTTAAATATTTGTATATGGGAATGTGACTAATTTGTGTGCATTGACTTTGCAGCTGACACCTTTGATATATTGGTTTATTGTTACTAGGAACTTTTTTTTGGTGGGCCACTTAGATTATTTAATGTATATCATCATGCCATCTACAAATAGATATAATTTGACTTCCTCTTTTCTAATTTGTATCCCTTTTATTTTCTTTTCTTTCTTGATTGCTAGTGCTTGAATTTATAACACAATGTTTAATAAGATTGGTGAGAGTGTATATTCTTGCCTTATGCCTGGTCTCAGTGGGAATGTTTTCAGATTTTAGCAATTCAGGATAATATTAGCTATTGGTATTTTATAAATATGCATTAGTATCTTGAAGA